CTCTTAACTGGCGAAAGTTTTTGCATAGAAACAGGATGTCTAATTTGATCATTAGTCACAGATTTTATCCACTTGTTAAACCAAATGTTTTGTATTTGTAGTTTAAACTCGCAAGGATGTTATTTGAAAACGTATTGATCAGCTTCTCAAAACGTGAACTACTGTACATTATTTAAAATGCGACTACGTTTCTCAATTATGCTTACTGTAGGTTTATCCATGTACTTGGTTGATTATTTCACCACCATATAAAAGTGCAATCCAATTTCCTCACACAGTTTCTGATGACCAAATATTTTTGCCAAATGTGACTGTCGATCATTTGTTGTCTGTATAATCTGGTGTGGCTCTAAACGTAAATACTGTAGGCTGAATAAATCATGGAGAGCGTATATCATAATGATAATTTAAATGTCGGACGTGCGGTTTAAATCATAACAATTGAAATGGAGAGATAACCAAATGTTACATTGCTTTTCTAGCGCCTCACGCCTAAGCCTGAACATTGATATTCGCCCTAAAAAAATAACATGATCATTTAATAGGTTTTAAAATGTCTTAAATGGCAGGGTAAATAGCACGCATAACCAACCTAGGAATTGTAAAAAAGCTAACTTTTAATGTATTTTGTTATAGATCAATGATACGCGGTATTACCCTAAATAATTTCAAATTCAGGTAATTTCGTGTTAAGCGAACAGTTAAACTAAAAATAGTGTAAACGCCATCAAAAGTGATAACGCTTGGGCGTAAGTTTTTTTTGTGCATCCAAAACATTTTAGATACTGTACACCGGTCAGGAAAATATATCTTAAAAAGTTTTGTTCAGTAAAATCCTATATTCTTTTTATTGTTTCCTGTAATACGTAATTTAGTTCTTCGAGTATGTATATTTCTTTCAAAGTTAAATTTAAAACCAATATTATTAACTCTTGTGACTCAATTAAGATATGAAGATGAGGGTTGTTGGTCCTCCACCATGTCACTTTTAGTCAGAGAATGCAAGAGCTATATCGGAGGAAAGTATTTTGTTATTTGCTAGTTTCCATTCATTTTTCAATGCCACGTTTCTATTTTCGCTTATTTTGCTCGCCCCCTCGATCTCCGCTGATAAGGAAGTCATTAGAACATTGTGCTGATAACCTTCCGTTCTGTTTTTCGTTCTTGCCCAGATTTGACCAGATGTTTGCTATTAGGCGTGAACTGTTATCTTGTACACCCGGAGGCTCCTATCTATTTTTATATATCTTTCAAATGGGTTAGATTATTTATTTTGATTCATTCATTTCTGGGAATTATGTCAAATCATTTTTATGCTAAGTAGATTTCGTCGGAGTAAAAACACACTTAATTTTTTTTCTTTCGGAGTGTATGATTTTTTAGCATGTGGAGGGCGTGTAATTTGTTAACAGATGCCAAGTGAACCGACAACCTGCAGTACGATGCCAACAGAGCTACAGTACTGGGTGTTGAGCTGTAGGAGTACGAGGTGTGAACAGTGGAGTGAGCAAGTTATAATTGGGATATAGACAACCGCACTGCTGTTTCTGGGTGGTGCAAAGTGAAAATGGAACCTACAGTCTATCCAACAATGTGAACGTGGAACGTACAGTGCGATGTACTTGTGTGTCAAACAAAGTGAACATGGAACCTACAGTCTGTCCAACAATGTGAACGTGGAACGTACAGTGCGATGTAGGCCTACTTGTGTGTCAAACAAGAGAACGTGGAACCTACAGTCTGTCCAACAATGTGAACGTGGAACGTACAGTGCGATGTACTTGTGTGTCAAACAAAGTGAACATGGAACCTACAGTCTGTCCAACAATGTGAACGTGGAACGTACAGTGCGATGTAGGCCTACTTGTGTGTCAAACAAGAGAACGTGGAACCTACAGTCTGTCCAACAATGTGAACGTGGAACGTACAGTGCGATGTACTTGTGTGTCAAACAAAGTGAACATGGAACCTACAGTCTGTCCAACAATGTGAACGTGGAACGTACAGTGCGATGTACTTGTGTGTCAAACATAATGAACATGGAACCTACAGTCTGTCCAACAATGTGAACGTGGAACGTACAGTGCGATGTACTTGTGTGTCAAACATAATGAACATGGAACCTACAGTCTGTAGAACAATGTGAAGTTGGAACGTACAGTGCGATGTACTTGTGTGTCAAACAAAGTGAACATGGAACCTACAGTCTGTCCAACAATGTGAACGTGGAACGTACAGTGCGATGTACTTGTGTGTCAAACATAATGAACATGGAACCTACAGTCTGTAGAACAATGTGAAGTTGGAACGTACAGTGCGATGTACTTGTGTGTCAAACAAAGTGAACATGGAACCTACAGTCTGTCCAACAATGTGAACGTGGAACGTACAGTGCGATGTACTTGTGTGTCAAACATAATGAACATGGAACCTACAGTCTGTAGAACAATGTGAAGTTGGAACGTACAGTGCGATGTACTTGTGTGTCAAACATAGTGAACATGGATCCTATAGTCTGTAGAACAATGTGAAAATTTGAACGTGGAATGTGCAGTACGAGTGTACGAAGGACTATTGTCGAGTGTGTTATACTGACGTGAAACGTACAGTATGATGTACGATTAGGACGATTGTGGAGCAACGTGAACGTGGAACTTACCGTACGATATAGGAGTGTGTGTACGAAGGACTGTTGTAGGGCTATGTGCATGTGGAACGTACAGTATGATGTACGAGTGTACGGAGGACAATTGTGGAGAAGTTTGAGCGTGGACCGTTCAGTACGGTGTACTAGTGTTGTCCTAGGAGGATTCCAGCAACGTAAACGTGGGACGTACAGTATGATGTACGAATGGTCGAAGGACTATTGTGGGGAGATGCATCTTGCTTCTGTGTAGGAGATGTGAACGTGCAACGTACAGAGCGATGTTCGGAGGAGTATTGTGGAGCAATGTGAACTTGGAACGTACAGTACGATGTACGAGTGTACGGAGGACGACCGAGTTATCGTGGGTTATCACACATCCGGAGTGAGTGTCAACAACACGCGCGAAACCCGGCCTAGAGATACTGGATCACATCACCACTGTACTGACCGGCAACCTTATTGGCTGGGCGTGGCTAGATGCACTGTCCAAGATCCAATTACAGTCGTACATTTCAATACTACATGTTAACGATGAATTTGCTTACTTTAGTGCATTTAGCATAAATCTTAATTAGGATTGAGGGGGCTGGATGCATCATTCCCCTCTTGTGGTGAGATCGGCATTGTTTTGTTTCCTCCCACGTTGTTTCGCAGTTGGATGTTCCCCGGTCAACATGTTTTCAGACTTCGAAATAGAAAATGTTTTATTGACGCAGGGAAATACTCTATGAATTGATGATGATTTTTGTTAATACGATGATACTCTTTATGATATGATTAAGATTTTGATTTCTTATATCGACCCTACCTTTTCTCAACTTTTGGGTACTAGGATCATCACGATGTAATAACTAGTTAGTCCTATATACATCGAAGACTAGGATATAAGTTACATGTTCTAAATTGTCTTTTAGTTTGGGGCGGTTAAATATTTAGTGTAACGGCAGAAATCAATGTTTTAATTTCATCAGCGCATTCTTTGGTTGGCTCAATTCAACTGAGTCAATTTTAATTCTAAAACTTGGAAACCGGAATGGTCTATCAAGAGTTTCCACCTCCAGATGCTAGGGGACCAGAGGTAACGCTAGCCGACACTTCCTGAGTTGATTCAGCGGAAATCCGCCCTGATTCAGACTTGGCGCGTCCCCGTAAACACGCTATTTTCGCCCTGTCTGCCGCCCAACTTCTATTTGGCTATAGATCACCGCCAGTGGCCGCTGCCAGCTCTATTTCCTAACATATGCGATTCGTTCAGATCCCCGACGCGACACTGTACGCTTCTCGTTCTGTTGGGAACTAGTCTGGTGACTTGCCGACCTGCGTCATAGGAATCGCGTCAAAGAAACTTTAGGTCGTAGAAACTCAAAATTAAGCGCAGTTCATTGTGATACTAGAGGGGAGTTAGGTACAGCGCGTTATAATTGTGTAGGCTAATACTTATCTTCCGCAGTATATATCCTGCGATATTGGAAATAAAACAAAATAGGACAAAAAGGTGTTTGTATATTTGTTTTAGTTTTGATTCATATTTCCATTGCGTATAAGCGGAATGAATTTCAATTTCCAGATGCTCTATTAGTAGAAAGTAGAATAGGCCTACAGTAACAAATTGTTAATCGTGTGAGTCAAGGACGATGAAATATTCTCGCATATTTTAATTTACTTTCCTATTTTAAGTATCTAAACCAGTGACTCTTCATACTAATGCCTTCCAGCTGCGTCTTATAGGATGACATGTTTACTCATTCTAGTCCTGTGATAAATTACAATAGGCCAAGTATGTTTGTATTTTTTACTCTATTTGACTTAGAATTTTAATATTTGAAGATATTTTGTAACGCTAATGGATTCAGCATTGTGGGCGTTAGTAGTATTTTGTTAGCTGGGCGGTAGGCGGGTTAAGGGCGGCTGGTCTTGCGCCGTGGGCGACCCCCGCCTACTGTCACCGCCTATCACCCGGTTTTGTTAACTTTTACTGTTACATTTCACGCCGGTTGTCCTTCGTTAGTTAATAATATACGCTCCATTATTGTTCTTGAGGTAATGTAATATGGTCGTCGGACAAGCAGCTCCATCAGAGTATGCTAAGCATCATTGTACATACTTTACTGCCCTTGTATTTATACTTTTACACGCTGTATACTTCTCCTGTGGTGATGTGTCTATTGTCCCTAATAAGCAGTTTTGACCGGTCGATTGGGACAGACGAGCTGGTCGTTGGACGTGTAAGTGACCCGCGACACAGGACACCGCGGTCGCTGCGGTCTGCAGTCGGAGGACCGGTCTGTGGTAGCTGTCGTGTAGTAGTCTAGTGTTGTTGTGTTGTTGCTGATCAATTGTTGTTGTGTTGCAGGAAGCAGCGTGGTGCAGGGTGGCAGAAGCCAGCAGTTGAAGCGCCGGCGATCGTCTGATGGCAGATCGCGATGGCACACGAGGCGGACTGGTCTCGGTGCACAACACGGGGCGCCCCAGTCCGCCGGACACTCCCCCAGGCCCCGTCACTCTCCTGCAGCCCCGACCCGACCAGCAGAGGGCGGTCAACGAGTACGTGGAGACGCCACTGCGTCCCACAAGGACTAGTAGTGCTAGTAGTGTGCCGCGAGTGAAACGGGACCGAGGAGTGGTGACGGAACAACCGGGACAGACGTTCAAGAAGGACTCGGCGGGGACCGCGGCGACGACGACGACGCCTCCCCCCAACAGTGACTGTAGCATTATATGCCGCGAGTGTGGACGATGTAGGTGCGAGAGTTGTAGAGAGCCGAGGCCGATGCCGAGTCTGTGGCTTTGTCACGACTTCTGTCTGTGTTCTACAGAGACGTGTGTGGACTACGGGTCGTGTCTGTGTTGTGTCAAGGGTCTCATGTACCATTGCGCCAGCAAGGACGGTGACGACGATACCTGCGCTGACGACCCTTGCTCCTGCGGTCCTCACCGTCGCCTGGGTCGATGGACCTGCCTGGGCCTCACCTCCCTCGTACTACCCTGTCTCTGCTGCTACTGGCCGCTGCGAGGAGTCGCCGGGGTGGTGGAGTCCCTCTACTCTCGCTGTACCTCCAGGGGTTGTCGCTGCGACTCTCGGCATTCCTCCTTCACTCCGGAGAAGAGGTTACTCGACTCGAGCCCCGAACTCTAGACACTCACGTGTGCGCGTTTCACCTTTCTAATATGCATTTAAACCTATCGACTTATTTATTTATTTGTAAGATATATCACTTTTTGTAATTTAACAGTCAAATTTTAGAAAACGTTTTACTGTGCAATCTCGCAACGAGACTAAAAACAATTTTACTAAAGGTGAAAAGCGCATCGCGATTTCTTTCTCTTTAGACTGTCTTTTAATCCGTTATAAATGTAAATCCCAGGGCTTGTTGCGATTGTGATAAATTGTATATTATTTCTCGTAACAAACTGTCACGCGTCCGCGTCGGGTGTCACTTAAACCGTTTACCTCATGTATTCGCTTAGTAAATTGTAATTATTATAAATATTAGTTTAGGGGCTGAAGCATTCCAAAGACGTTACTTTAAGGTGCCTCCTGTACGGGGCTGTTGTTTGTTATACTTAAATGAAAAGGGACGGATTAAGATTTCTCGGTACGACTTTAATCCACAACAAACCAAATTTAATTAATGTATTTCCTAGGATTAGGTCGCGACGATGGTTTCTCCGCCGTTTGTTATCAACTAAAAGTTATTTTATTAATAATATTAATTAATTTTATATGTAAATAATAGTATAGCCTCTTCCTCTTACCGCTGTACGAACCACTTTGTTTTCAAAATCAAAATATCTCTTCTCCGCGACTGTTGCTATTTTATTTATTCTCGTGGACGTACACAAATAGAACACCATCTACCGTAGCTCTAGCTTCTATCCTCTATCTTCTGTCGTCTCTCTTGTCTAAGTCAAATTGTCAATTGTCAGTTCTGCTCAACTCCGGTTTGTTGATTGACGCCATCAAATGGCTGATATGGGAGGATCAGTATTCATCTAGTCTAACTTATTATATTAATAATACTCCGGTTACGCCCGGAGTATCGACTTTAATATGATTGTTATTATTTTGTACGATAACTATTTTATGTGAATAGCAATCAAAAATGTATATTGTACACGGACCCATATTATATTTAGTAACTAATCAGATGAGCCGCAGTAAAGCGCCACCAGGCGGCGTAGCAGCAGCTTTGTTTATTTGTATTTGTAAATATTTCTATATCGTTTAGTTAACAAATATATCGCAGTAACAGAACCAATCGTTGTTTTTATTTATCTTATTAAAACTGCTTAAATTGTAAATTTTATGTAAATAAAAATGTGTCCAATGCCAAACTTTTATGGTTTTTCTTCATTTGGTTTACCTCCTGTAGTTAAGCTATGTTATATGTTAAACTGGCAGATAAACAAGACATTCTTTAAGAAATGAGAAAAATTGCATTAGTAACTTAATGAGTTGTACAGTACTTGAACTCCCATTAACAATGGGATTCATCTTGGAGATCAATCAATTTCTGCCATGGAAAAAGTACACCTCTGTAATAATCAAAACCAGAGGTCGTCCAGTGGTAAAAAACTCGACCATAAATATGTAATGTACAGACTTTTGTAATTTCACCCCACGCTGTAAATAAAACATGTGAATGGAATCTTTTTTAATTTGTTTTGATTTTCTGTTTATATTTCGTCCCCAGCTTGGCAACCCATAAGGCCCATGAATTTTTTTTTCAAATAACTGAATTGTTGTGCTTATTTTTGAGCTTGTTTTGATTTATAAAGAGGTTCTGCTCATCTAGAGGAAAATATCTTTCTAACATTAGACCAGTGTGTGGATTTTCCATGTGATGCACACGAGCTGAGAAAAAATGTGTTGCATAAGTTTATCGAGCAATGATGTGATAAGTGAATGCCCACAGAGAAGTGAGAAACAGATGATATATCCTGTGTATATTTATTATTTCTACTCTGTGGTCTGGCTTAGTTATTATCATGATATCCGTAGTGTTAAGCCAAAGCTTTGTAACATTCAAAGCAACCTACTTTGAAACCAACCGCTTTATTCAAAGTGGAGTAGCAAAGACAAAAAGTTTCCATGGGGCAAAAAATCACAATTTAATCTGACAATAATTATACAAATTAAATAAGAATTAAAAGTCAAACAAACGTTATAAAAACACTGGGTAGAATAAATATCAAGACTTGTGTTCTGTTGTGTCGTGGACATTACATTCTGAAGGGAATGATACCCCTTTTGCAACAAACCTGCACACTTCGAGAATCTCTAGTTACTTGATTGAATCTTTAAACATTTCAGTGCAAAATAACGCCTATATTACACTTCTATTCATAATTTAAAAAAAATTATGTTTCAAATCTTACTACGAATAAACTGGTCCGATGTTATGAACAGTTATTCCATGACAATTTAAACTATTTATTTGGTTAATTCATATGGTTGTTTTCCTGTGATCTCAAACATAATTGGCCACGTAAAGGATCAGCTGTTTCATTGTTAAAAGAAGTACATTGGGCAGCGAGCTAGAAAATCTGCTTTGGTTAATTGTAAATCGAGGGTCTGCTTGACGATTTCTCTACTTCCAGGGGACCAATCCATGGCTCTGTATGATTTATTTCAATTGTAAAAGCAATACTCTACAGGGTGATTGGGACAAAGATTTTTTGGTGTAAGTACAAAGTAAATGAAGGGTGATGATGCATATAAGAGGTCCCATCAAAAAATTGGCTTCCCAAAGAATTATTTTAGTTTTTTTTTTTTAAACCATGTTTTTAAACTTAATACAGCAATTTCTCAATTACCTGTAAAAGGATTTGAGTAGATAATGTAATTTTCGTGTTCTACATTAAACTTTGAATAAGAATAATAGAAAACTATGGAGGATAAATACTAAAAACTCCATTTTAAATAGATCCAAAGATAAAAATTAAGGTGTTTGATAAAAATTAAAAAGAAATTGGTTTATTGCATTTTTCTACACTCTGTAAAACAAGAAGGTGGCCAAATATGTTAAAAACTGCGCCATTGTATAAGCTTTCCAACCATATGCTACACTATTGAGGTTTAGATATACTTTTGTTTGTTTTAGTGGTTTGAATGCTAGGAAACAGGGGACCTTTTTACTGTTTTTACTGTTCCAACTGAAACAAAAATGCAAGTTTTGCTTAATACATGCCGACTATCCATGTTAATGTAGAACACGAAAATGACATTATCTACTAATCCATTTACAGGTAATTGAGAAATTGCTGTATTAACAAAATATGGTTAATTTTTAAATAATTTAAAATAATTCTTTGGGAAGCTAATTTTTACACTTTGAACCTCTTACAGTATTTTTATCATCACACTTCATTTACTTTGTACTTACACACAAAAAAATTGTCGCACTGAGTACCAATCACCCTGTATTAAGGAAACTCATGTTTCATTTACAGCTAATTTTGGCTTTTTTATATGAGGTTCAGTGGAATAACAATTTATTATGATGCAAATTTTAACCTGGCAATCCACAGCACATTAATTTATGTTACAGTCGATGAAACATCACTCGTTTAAACATTGTTTCGACAGTTTGCTTGATTAATTAAAATAGCTGAGGATTTTTAGCGAATTTCCCTATAGGGAAGTAGTTATTACCGTAGGTCTCATGGTAAGACCTAAGCCCGGGACCGATTTACTTTTTCATTTTGATGTCCCCAGAGGCCAAAAACACCATTCGTTCAAATTTTTATATATCTATATAAAGAGATATATATATATATATATACAGGGCGAGTTTCTACTAAGTGCGTTAATTTTTACCAGTTATTCTACTCACTAAAAGGAACAAAAAATGACAAACAACAATTTTCCATCCCCACTCGTTATGCTGTAATGGCCGATTATGTGAATTTTTAAAATTACCTGTAGTAGCTTCACTAAAACGAGCATAGAAATTAAGCCAATACACGTACAGCATAATAATTTATACCAATGAAAAGAGCGTTAAATTTCCTACAAAACCACTGCAACACCTTTAACATACAACCATATTTTCACCGTTGTATGTCTCACATAACATAAAAAAAGAAGTTTCAAAATTAATTCTTTACAACTTCAAAGTGGTTTTACAACTATACATACTAAAGTGATGTTTTGTCAAATTACGTAAAAAACTTCCCCATTTCATGCCCTTTAAAATGATGTAACCCATAAGGTTATTTCTGTATTAAAAGTTCGAAAAATTAGGTAAAAACCGCGTCAAGGTCAGACTTTTCGGAATCAAAACATTGAACCAAATGTAATACAGTATCTATTCATTTCTTTGCTTTCTTATAATCAGCTGACATCTGATCAGCTGGGTGTTAAACTTTGTTTACAAAACCAGCTGATTGCAATTGTTGGCTTGTAAACATTTAAATTATTAACTTTTTCATTATTTTATAATTCTATGACAAAATTTCAAAATAAATTTGATCAAAATCTAGGTTAATTCATTTGTACAAATAAACCAAATGAATCCTGTAAAGTCTGGTTTCTAGATTTTTAATAAAAGTAAGTTTTCAAAATGTCCACCATTTTTGCTCTAATACATGTGGTCATAAATATGGTCTTTTCCGAAAGTTTCTCACTGTTGCCTTTAATTTTAGCTCCTCTTGAAGAAGGTTGGAAGCTTAAGTCCGATTTCTTAGCTCATCCGCTGTTTGAACTAGTGTTCGGTAATTTTCCTGTTTGAGGTAACCTCAAGCGTCCATTGGTCAAGTCCATTGGTGTCTGGTGACTGTGGTGGCCAAGCAATTGGTCCGCCTCTTCCAATCCACATTGGGAAAGTATTTCCAATGTAAATTCGCACCCCATTATTGAAGTGGGGAGGTGCGCCATATACTTGCTAAACTATTCGCTTATGTACATCCAACAGGACGTCTTCAATGAGCCTTGGTAGAGTATCAGTAAGGACGTTGAGATACTGACAGCAGTTTAATGAATATGGAAGATCCATGAAAGGGCCAACTAACTGGTTTTAGAGTAATCTATTTAACTTAAATCTTGTTTGGTTTCGACACTGGTGTATCACATGTGGGTTTTCTGTAGCATAGTGATGTCCATTATGGATTTTGTAAATACAATCCCGAGTAAACTTGGATTCGTCTGTCCACAAAATCGACTTGAGGAAGTCACGATGATCATGCCAACTAACAGAGGGACATAACTGAAGTCTCTGTAGACAATCTCTTGGTTCAATAATCTGTACTCGTGTAAAATGGTAGGGATGCAATTTTTCCTTTCTCAATAGCTGAGAAATACCTAAGTCACGAGAAACTGTCATTGTTCTTGTCCGTGGATCGTCCTCAAACCACCCCAACACATCTGACACAGCTCCTTAAACACATACACAATACACATCTTGTATCACTTCCCAACAGAATGATGTTTAGTGCCCATGGAAACTTGTATGGACACTGATGAATATTCGTTAATTTGAAACACACCTATTAGGAAACTGACGACTGTATTCACGTCAGATTACAGCTGCATTTGAGAACATATCCGGAAAGTAAAATCTTATCAGGACACTTTGTTGGTGAACACCAACATAGCACTAAACAATTATAATATTTTCCAAGTATGTTCATGAAATAGTTAATAATTTAAATGTTTACAAGCCAACAATTGAAATCAGCTGGTTTTGTAAACAAAGTTTAACACCAGCTGATCAGATGTCAGCTGATTATAAGAAAGCAAAGAAATCAACAGATACTGTATTACATTTGGTTCAATGTTTTGATTCCGAAAACTCTGACCTTGACGCGGCTTTTACCTAATTTTTCGAACTTTTAATACAGAAATAACCTTATGGGTTACATAATTTTAAAGGGCATGAAATGGGAAAGTTTTTTACATAATTTGACAAAACATCACATTAGTATGTATGGTTGTAAAACCACTTTGAAGTTGTAAAGCATTAATTTTGAAACTTATTTTTTTATGTTATGTGAGACATACAACGGTGAAAATATAATTTTATGTTAAAGGTGTTGTAATGGTTTTGTAGGAAATTTAACGCTCTTTTTATTGGTATAAGTTATTATGCTGTACGTGTATTGGCTTAATTTCTATGCTCGTTTTAGTGAAGCTACTACAGGTAATTTTAAAAATTCACATAATCGGCCATTACAGCATAACGAGTGGGGATGGAAAATTGTTGTTTGTCATTTTTTGTTCCTTTTAGTGAGTAGAATAACTGGTAAAAATTAACGCACTTAGTAGAAACTCACCCTGTATATATATATATATATATATATATATGTGTGTCCATCCGCACGATAACTTGAGTAATTTTT